AGAGAGTGTCACTGTCAATTTTGCTTTCTCACACTTCCTTCCCTTCACTTCATCTGATTTTAATAATCCCTGTCAAACCACAAACAGTCCAAATTACCTTCTTGACACAGAAGCTTTCAAGGAAGAGACAGAATCTCAACTTTCATTTAGCGACTACAAAAGCAAGCTGTCCGACTGGACAAATATTATTTCCACTCTTGACAATCTCTACAGTAAAGCATGCTTTTTAATTTTCACTGAAGCTGCCAAGGGTTTGATATAAGCTTCTTGTTTAGCGTAGATTGACTCACAGGATTAGCAAACCAACAACTGTAATTGTGTTTAAAGAAGCCAGCACTTTCAAGTCAAAGAAAAAATTGCTTGCAAGAGGTGACAATTGGATGTCATAAGCTAACTGAATTAAGAAAAAGATTATACAAATAATTTCAATTTTGTAGATCTCACAGGATCTGTTTCAAGATCATTTTACATTTATAAGATTGACCGAATGGTTGCTGCTAACATGTAATATAAATCAGAATTTCAAGGAGGACAACTTTATATTCAACCACATCCGCAACAATCTAAGAAAGGTTAGCACTTGACAACAGGAAATATGTTCAAGGCAAATAAGCTTCTGCAAAAGAATATGATCTGTAATCATTTTCCTCTCTGTTGGCTTGCCTTCAAAGTAAGCTTGATAATGTAAGTTGCTGCTTCACATATATCAGTTTAAAAATAATTGATTTCTCTGATGAGGCACAGTATTATATAATTAGCATTCTATTTGAAGTTTATGTGGATTTGATTATGTGGATAATCAAAGCATAATACATTTTTATATAAAATATTTTCTTCACATAGACACATCAGTCCCTCTAATCATCTGCAAGTCTATTGCTTCTTAGTATTTTGACTTATTTAAAGTTGCAACCAGGTTTGAAGCATCACTAGTTATAAAAAAAGAAAAGAGAATTACCAAGCTGCTTGCCATCAGAAGACTCATGTTAAGTATTGTTTAAACACCTCAGATTGCCTGCCTCATGCACAGGCCTAATTTTAGACTAATCAAAGCTGGTTTAAAAGATTCTTTGGTAAAGTCAGAATACACCAAAACAATAAAAGCCTGTCTTTGAGAAATCCATAACACCACTATGAAATGCATAGCTACATGCCTAGATGGTTTCTAGAGTTCCAGAACAAGAAAATTTTTCTTTTTAGCAATACAGCAGCGTATTAATGTTCTTTTAACAGTTTGGGCTCGCAACTGGCTCTCCATGATCACTCATCTTCATGGCAAGACATCCTCCTGCTTGCTTTCTTACCCTGTTTTTCTTCCTAGTGAAGACTAAGAGCTTTAACAGCTTACTGTACTTTTCTCATTTAGCACTGCTAGCCAAAGCACTATTTTGATACTCAGCAGTATATTGATTCTACCATATGAGGCATGCATCAGTTTGGACCTGTATGTTCTTTTATTCTAAAAGGATTTGATCAAAAGATCACTTAAAGGAGAAAAAAATTATGTAGTAACACAGACCAGTGGTATTCTTATTTTTAAGTAAAAGGACATTGATTTAAGCCTCTCAGATAAAGTGCTTAGTCTTGACTATGTCTTGACTTCTAGTTAACTATCAGTTTGAATCCAGAGCAGAATTCATAACTGATACAGCTAGCCTTACGCATCAAATAAGCACAGATTATATATCATTTAGCATTTAAGCCAAACACTATGGAAGTAGGAAACAGGAAATACATCTGTAGAACAGTATATTACAGTACAAACATACTGACTGATACAAAAGAGCGCCTACATCACATCCACTTAACAGTAATTAAAATACTTGTACAAAACTAAACCTTGTGTCTAATGGGTTTGCAGTTCTGTAACTACCATGGAAGCTAGATTTTTTAATGTACCTTTCCATTGTTGCTGAAGAAGAAAGAAAGGAAAATAAAGGAATGGTTACAGTAAAAGGAACTTCCTTCTTCTGAAGGATCTCTTAAACTATACTCTCACACTCCATCCTGAAGCTCCTTATCACAGCGCAACTAAAAGTCCTGCAGCTCATGAAACAATATCTCGTACTTCATGGTGAAGTTCATTTACCCCTATACTGTTAGTCTGTATATACCATGGAAATACCATTTGCGTGTGATTCAAGAATATTCATGGAGAACCATAATACATTTGATTATCTCTTCTGGAAAGATGCTGTGTCAAGAATACGATTTCAAAATATGGTAAAGGCAACAGCGTTGAAAAACGGGAGAGGGACTCATAACAAAATGCATTCACACAGGGGAAAAAAAATCTTTCTTTGGAACCAGACCAGGTCATAAATTACTGTGCAAAAAGGAAAGGCTGATTTGTGATGCAAAAGGGGTTCCTCCTCCCTACCATCTTAAACAACTACTGTAAAGATATTACTAAATTCTCTAGAAAGCACTTAGCCTTTGGTTTCACGATTAAGAAGGCAACTATTCATAAATATCTTACAAGTGAACACCACGCACTGTGGTATTTCTTACATAATTACAAGACTCAAATGAGTTGTGCAACCAGGCAAGGAGTGGAACTACAGGGTAAACAATGTGCGCTACTTGCCTATCACATGAAATAAATCTCTTGCTTCAGAACACATCTGGACTGAAAAGGAAAGATCTCATTTTTTTTAAGGAAGACTACATTGAAAGCTTGTACAAAGAAAGAAAGAGGGACATCACAGGCTAAAGGAAAAGGAGTAAAAACTTTATTCTAGGGTCACATTAATATTTTAGCAAATGTTATTTTCCTTATATTAATTTTATAGGATCTCATTTTTTTTAAGGAAGACTACATTGAAAGCTTGTACAAAGAAAGAAAGAGGGACATCACAGGCTAAAGGAAAAGGAGTAAAAACTTTTTTCTAGGGTCACATAAACATTTTAGCAAATTTTATTTTCCTTATATTAATTTTATAATATTTTACAACCTTTGCAAAGTTAAAAATTAATAAGCCATATAAGATTCAACCCAGAAACTTACATTACAATCCATTTTTTAAGGTTCAGTCTATATATTTTTTAATTTAATTGCCAAAAACTGAGCACTATAACAACTCCGCCAGAGTATCTTTCAGAAGCATGAGTTGTGGCGAAATCTGTTTTTGGCTAAGAGTTCTGTAACGAACCTTAGCGTTTCAACTATATTCTATTAATCTGTAAGAAAAATTATGCTTGCTGTGACCCAGCCAACAGCAGGTGGTCCCAACCCAAGATTCCCTTCACTGGTACATCTCCAGGAAACAATATGGAGGATGTTACCAGCACAAACAAAACATCCAATGAGAAAAGTAGTTAATGGCATATATTCTGAAAAAGGGAGAAAGAGTTCAGGGATAGAAAAGCTAGGGAGTGTTCACTGAAAAAACATATTTTTCCTAGATAGGCTGGTAATAAGTGACATTACAATATCCTGCCTCATGCTAACCTTTGGAGCTGAGCATTATTCAGAAACTTTAAGTTTGTTGCATATTAAGAGAACCAGAAGTTTATTGCATTGCAAGTGTATATTATGGAATGGCACTGAACAAATAATTTGATTTTTAATATAAAGGCAGACTGGAATGGTTTTTCCATTTTTCTGTTCTATCACAGTGTGCACTAGGGACAGGTTTATTATAGGGAAAGAACCAAGTGGGCTATATTCCTCACCAACCCCTATATTTGCATTGCCCAACGTAACTCACACGCCCTTAGTTAAATGGCATGAGAAGAATTAAAAACATTGTAGAGTCAACTATTCATATTTCAAATAATCCACTTTTTTATCTGTACTACTGGATCATATAGGTCCCTAAGCCACACCTTGGAATGATTACAAGTTTTTATTCAAGTTTGATTTTTGTACTATTATGTACTAATGGCAACACAATCAAAAGAGTGGAGAGAAATAGATTGACTATACTGAGTAAGACCCCATTTTTGACCCTTTCTTCACAGGGTTTTCACAGGGTCTTCAAAGACTTTATTGGAGTTTTCTGTAGAGTACAAAACAGACTGCATTCTCCCCCAAATGTGATAAATATTAGGGACTGTTTCACTTAAGCAAATGCTGCAAATTACAATACGCATTTCAAAAACCGTGCTCTAGATTAGTTTCCACAATAACCTTGTAAGTCTTTACTAGAGAGATACCTTATTCAGGCTTCTGACAACATGTCCTGGTTTCAGCTTGGATAGAATTAATATTCTTTCTAGCAGCTGTGTTTTGGATTTAGTATGAGAATAACTAGATAACACATACTGGCTTAGTTGTTGCTCACCGATGTTTATATTACTCAAGGACTTTTTCAGCTTCCCATAGAACTTGAGAAGGAGCAAAGACACAGCAAGCTGGCCAAAGGGATATTCCATACCACAGGCATCATGCTCAGCATATAAATGGGCATTAGCTGGGGGCAGGAATTTGTGATCCCTGCTCAGGATCATTGGGTTGTGAGAGTGACTTGTGCTGTATCACTTCTTTTGTATATTCTTTTACCATTTTTTTTCTTTCCCCTCTTCCATCACTGTTCTGTTATACCATTTTTATCTCAACCCATGAACCTTTCCCCCCTCCTTTTCTCCCTCTTCTCCTTACCCTGCGGGGGAGAAGAGGGAGGGAGTGAGTCACTGCGTGGTCCTTGTTGCTGGATGGGGCTAAACCATGACACAAAATAACACTAATCCAAAGTTCATACCTATCCATTTCTTCATAGTTAACACAACTCGTCATTTTTATAGCTGTTGTGAAGAGATAAAAATTTATAAAATGGTTAATCTGAACAAAGCTTGTTTTTAACTTTTTAAAAACTCAAATTTAAATGTAGCATCTCCATTTTCCTCAATCAATAAAAATTCATTCTTAGTACCAATAAGCACTTTTCTATAAACATCACAGGTCTCATCTAACACCCAGTTAGAACTTTTTAACCATTTATAGTTTAGAGCAACTCAATTTTAGAAAATATCAATATACAATTTACATAAATACATACCTTCAGTCAATATATTCCCTCTGTAACCGAAATCTTCAATTTTAAGGGGCTACGCATAACATTCAGTTAATAAATCATCAGTGGTCCTATGCAAAAAAGAATGTATTAAATTACTAATAGGTAGTATATGAGGAACTGACACTTTCACAGCTAAATATACAAATTAAGTATTAAGTATTATGTAAAATTATATGTATGTACATATGTACACAGATTTATATGTACATACATATGTATATATGTACATATATATGTAAAATATATATTAAGTATTATGTAAAATTGCTTATAAGAGAAGATAGTAGGCGTCTTAATTCCAACTGGCAAATAACAGTCCAAGTTCAAAATGTTAAAAAAAGCTTTAACTTCAGGAGCCTCCATTTCTGTTGATACTACACAAACTATGATGCCACACAGCACTTAATTTCATTGTTCCAACAGTATAAAAACAATGGAGAGAAGATACATACAGGATGGGAAGGCCATAGAATCTCCCAAAATAGCATATGGAGGTGTCAGAAGCTGGACTTTACAGGAGGCTATAAGAAATGCTTAGACAAAGTGCACACAGCTCAGTAGTTTCATTGAGAATAATCTACCCTGTAGTCACCCATTCGTAGAACAAGCAACTTCAAGGAGTTGAAGTTTGAGACGAAGCTTCCCTATATAACGGACAATTATAAGAAAGATGGAGAGAGACTTTTACCAAGTCCTGTAGTGACAGGACAAGGGACAATGGTTTTAAACTGAAAGAGGGGAGATGGAGCTGAGCTGTGGGGAAGAACTTGTTTGGTGTGAGGGTGGTGAGAGCCTGGCCCAGGTTGCCCCGAGAAGCTGTGGCTGCCCCATCCCTGGAGGGGTTCAAGGGCAGGTTGGAGGGGGCTTGGAGCAACCTGGTGTGGTGGGAGGTGTCCCTGCCCAGGGCAGGGGGTGGCACTGGGGGGGCTTTAAGGTCCTTTACAATCTAAATTATCCCGTGATTCTATGATTGTACTAAAATTGCTGAAGATTGACTGCTGCACCCAGTAGTGGTTGTGGACACTAATGTAATGAATCAGATCAGGTAGTTGAACACTAGCTCGGCAAAAATATCCTAGCATCCTTCTGTACCAGCCACTTTACCCCGTACAAGCCTGTTTATCCCTAAGCACTGATGGGGTATGGGATGGGGTATCTCACTGCCATAAGTGGCTGCTGCAGGCGTGCCCACTTGGCAGCACCACCAGTTAGTTTAGTGCTAGATTAAATTGACAAAACTGAAGTGAAAACGATAGATGGCCTGCATTAGACTTACAGACCTTGAGAATTCAGCTCTACAGAAGAATTGAAGAGATTGTGTTTAGACGTGCACGTTAACATACCTGAATATCAAGTTCCATCATGTTTAACAGCAAAATGGGGAAGCATACATAAGAAATAATAGTAAGTATCCTGTTCACCTGCTTTTGTTACACAAAATTTCAAGTAATTAAAAATATATTTAGAAGGCGTTCTACATGTATTAAACTCTTATTCAGTAGTGTTATTAAAATGAAAGTGGTTCTCTATGTGGAAAAGAACTGGGAAGTCTTAGCATTTTCCACGTTTTCGGCTGAAGGAGCCCACGACTAAAGTTCCTGAAACTCAGAAGTTCTGTAGAAGAATCAGCAAAGACAAGAGCAAAAGGAGTTTAAAAGAACTGCATGTAAGTGGAATAGCCCCTGTTCTTCGACTGATAGTTTCAAGTCTATATTATAAATGAAGAACAAAGCCAACAAAGCCTGTACTTTTTCCACTGCTTTTTTTACTTTTCTGAAAACAGAGGCTATGCAAAAAGCTATATAAAAAATGACAGTAAGGTTGTAACTCCAGCTCACAAAAGCCAAGAAATTTAAAGTTAGTCTGACATTCAATCCTTAAATCATGCAATTGTGCTTCTTTTTTAAAAAGCAACAATGCAAGTTAATGACAAGTTGTCAGCCCTAACTTTGAATTGCCTGAAGTTTGTCATTTGGTGTTTGTGTCACAACCTTAATGTTATTTAAATGTAGTTTTTAGTATCTATTATTTAAAAAGGTCTACTTTACGACAGCAAAAAGCTTTGATGGAATAAACCTCAAAGTACACTGTAGTGCTGGTATGCCACTTCATTAGAAGTAGTGCATAAAACATATGCTGTTGACAAATCTAATTCATTAAAGGTGAGGTAGATGCACTTTAAAACAACTGGATGGCATCATTATCTACAGTTCCTTTTATAAATTATTCTTCTTTTCCCTTTTGACTGAACTTGTCAGTGTTCCCTTTTCAGACTGTGAATGTTTTTGCCTTAAAATTCAATACCTTCAACATGTTTGGACAAGTTAAATAAGTAGCGTATTTGCTAAAACTGAAATTGTAAGCAGAAACACTCACACTGATTATTTCACCTATATTAACTAATGAGAAATAAAATTAACCAACAATGTATAAGAGTTTCAGCTTTATCAAACATAACATTTAAAAATGAAGAGAACAGGAAATTACCAAGTACAACAGAGTAACATTCTGGCAGCATTTTGCATTGCTATTCAGATGACTTGGATTTGATACTGAATTGAATTCCACAAGAGAGAAGAAGATCAGGCACATCAGAGAGCTGACAGCTAGCTGACATACTTAGTTATAAAAGGAAGAATTGCTAACTATATTAGTCAGACAATTTTAGGTAAAGACCATATTGGTATGGGAACTAAAGGCTATTGAAGGGTCCATAAATAACAGCAAGCTGGTATTTGAAGCATGGCCCATCAGAGTGGTGAATTTCGTCAACAGCCTTCCAACAGATAAAAGACATACAACTAGTCAAAAACTGATCAAACTCCATCTCAGAATGTCATTGCCTGTGAGAACATGGAAATTTTCCTCCTCAGCCCAGAAAGAATGAAGTCCTTCTATCACTGTGGTCTCCACATCACAGTGCAGGAGCTTCACTGCATCACTGAAAAAGTAAAGTGAAAAAGAATGCTTTTGGGGACTAAATATAACACTAGTTATGGTTAAATTCCACTCATCACATATTCAGCAAAATTCTAAACTACATTATTTTAGTATAAAAATATACTAAACTGTATACAGGGAAACGGGGGAAAAAAAATAATCATAGGTCCTTAATCAGGGATTCTTTCATTTTGCATTGCTATTCAGATGACTTGGATTTGATACTGAATTGAATTCCACAAGAGAGAAGAAGATCAGGCACATCAGAGAGCTGACAGCTAGCTGACATACTTAGTTATAAAAGGAAGAATTGCTAACTATATTAGTCAGACAATTTTAGGTAAAGACCATATTGGTATGGGAACTAAAGGCTATTGAAGGGTCCATAAATAACAGCAAGCTGGTATTTGAAGCATGGCCCATCAGAGTGGTGAATTTCGTCAACAGCCTTCCAACAGATAAAAGACATACAACTAGTCAAAAACTGATCAAACTCCATCTCAGAATGTCATTGCCTGTGAGAACATGGAAATTTTCCTCCTCAGCCCAGAAAGAATGAAGTCCTTCTATCACTGTGGTCTCCACATCACAGTGCAGGAGCTTCACTGCATCACTGAAAAAGTAAAGTGAAAAAGAATGCTTTTGGGGACTAAATATAACACTAGTTATGGTTAAATTCCACTCATCACATATTCAGCAAAATTCTAAACTACATTATTTTAGTATAAAAATATACTAAACTGTATACAGGGAAACTGGGAAAAAAATAATCAAAGGTCCTTAACCAGGGATTCCTCCTGTAACATAATTTTCCATTTAATTCCTTAAAAAGTGACCTACATCTATCGATCAAAAACATATAGAGAAATTTTTGCATAGAATGCATAATCATACTTCAATATGTCAATACTCTGTACAAATATTTTGTTATGAATTAGCTGGATTAATAAAAAATTCTGTCTTTTTCAAGAAAAACCCATGTATAGCACATTATGTCCTCCTGTATATTTCTATACAGACACATGTACGCATACACATTTTCAACTATATGCAGTGTCTCACATTAATTCTAGACTGCCTCTTGCAGAGAGAATCTCATTCCAGTATAAGACTTAACCTGAAAATTTAAGAGGTGGACACTTTGCTTAGAAAAAATTGGCACGTAAGTAACTAAAATAGGGAATCACCTCCAAATATAATTCACTGAGGCCTACTTCATGCCTCCACAGATTACAGCAAATCAGTTTCTGCAAGCAACTTTAAATCTTTAAACTAAAAACTGACAGATTAATTTACTACATTTCAATCAGCATTTACCATTTACCTCAGAAGATGTGCATCATGTATGTCCAAGATGCTATACATGCAATTCTCCTAATTAGTCTCCCTGTTAATCCTCATTCTGCTGTTTTCCTTTTGTTCCCTCTCCTGCCATTCTGTCTTTACAACTCCATGAGTGAAACAGTTGTTATTTCTTCAAGCCTTCTGCCACCAAAAATGGTAAGAGTTAGCTGCAGATGGACAAGAGTACCATGGTATCTCCACTCCAGGAGACATATCTCAAAGGCCAACCGTGTCCAGAATCCCTTAGTGAACTGAATTTGAAATCATTCCACTTACAACCTTCTTATTACTGAAAAGATCCATATCCTACTGACTGCTGGTACCAGCACCTCTTCTCGTGAAGTCTCATGAATGCTGGTACCAGCACCTCTTCTCGTGAAGTCATTTCTTAGATCTGTGAAGGGGGCTTCTGTTTACCTCTAAACAATGGGGAGACAGGACTTTGAGTACCTAAGTTCTACTTTGATCTGCCTAATAAATCTTTCAGGATGCCATTGGGAGTGGGGAGGCAGGAAAATGAGAGAAATGGGAAAAGGAGAGAAACTCTCTAATGCTTAGAGAGTTTATGCTTATACAGAAGCACCCATAATGCCTTCCCAAAGGAAACTTTCATACTCCCCAACATTTCCTGAGAAGATACTCTGTTCCTAAGTCAAGGATTTCAGTCCTGCTTGTACTTCAGCCCTTACTGATGACCTTCATGAACCCTTCTGTCAATGCTGGCACGCTGACAGCAAAATGTTCTACACTAATAAACGTCATTGCTTCATGGGGAAAGTGGAAG